ATTAAAGGGAAATATACCAGGAAATAGAGGAATATTAAAGGGAAATATCGCAGAAATGAGGGGAAATTATTGGGAAGTATATCAGGAAATGGAGGAATATTAAAGGGAAATGTGTAAGAAAATGAAGGGAAATTAATGGGAAATTAAAGGGGAATCTCAGGTGGTGTTAGAAGTATTCGGGGTTATTAGAGGGTGTTAGAAGGTATCAGGGGATGTCAGGAAGTGTTTCGGAAATGTTAGATGGTGTTAGAAGTTGTTAGGAGATGTTAGAATATGTTAGGAGATGTTAAGAGATGTTAGGGGTGGTTAGGATATGTCAGGAAGTGTTAGAAGGTGTTAGGAGATGTCAGGAAGTGTTTGGTCTCGTAGGCGCAGGGATGCCCCTAGTATGCGGCAAACCGCACTTGCCGGTTAGTCGGTGCGGTTGTCATCTAGTAGGCGCAGACGTGCCCATTTCATGGGGCAACCTGCGCTAGCTGGTTTGTCGATTCGGTTGCCATCTTGTAGGCGCTGGGATGTCATTGTGCGGCAGTCCATACTGGCCAGTTTATCATATAATGTAGTGTTATGTACTTACTAAGGATCCGTTCTAATTAAGCATTTGTGTAAAATGAAAAATAATTGATTGAATGTATTTATAGCGCCATCTTACACAAGGGATGGGAACTATTTTCATTACAAACTTGGGTGTTTTGCCACGGATGGCGCCACTGCACTAAAACGGATATTATTTCTATATTAACAAATATATTCTTTAAAATTAATAATTCATATACAAATATACGCTCTTATTTAGCAGAGTTTATGTTCATTTTGGTCGACTTGGGTAGACTATAATGGATAGCATGCCGAATCAACGTATCGAGGTATCGATAGTTAATGTATCCACCGTTGAGGAGCCTCACCCGCCTCCTGCCCGCCATCGTAACTTGGCGTTCACTTCAGTCTGTTTGGTATCATTAGTAAAGATACGCATAATATCAGTTTGCATTTTACATAAGATATAGAAAATGCCGAGAAAACGTAAATTATCAAACATAAAGGAGAGATGTCGTATTTGTCTCGTCGACAATGGTTCCATGAGTAATTTGTTCGATGAAGTTCTACAATCAAAGTTGAACGATTTGACAAAGTGCACTTCCATTAATGTGTGTTTACATCCTTTTTCTTCTTAATTTATAGACGGAGTTTCATGTTATTTTTTTGTATAATTGAATTATCTTTCTGTATAGATCAAGGACGAGCATGGTTTGCCCAACATTATTTGCCACGTATGTTTCTACAAGCTGGATATGTGGAATGAGTTTAAAGAGCAATTTATACGCTCGAATCAAATGTTATTAAGCCAGTTGGAACTTGCAGAAGTTTCTGATAATGCGGTAAGAATATTGTACTCAAAGGAAACAGTAATCTTATTAAGCTAAACTTGTAACTATATTTCAACTGCTTTCTTTTGCTTTTAGAAATCACAACTTAAAAGAACTTACACTGATCTGCACGACAGTGGAGAAGACAGTCTCACGGACACTTCTGATAAGGTATTTCCAATACTAATACTTCAACATCTATTTTTGGCAATAGTTTATTTGATAAAAATATGTGTTTCAGAAGAAATCAAAACCTGATGTACCACCCTTAATACCATTGGAGTTTGCGAGCGTAGAGTGTGTAACAGACCAAGCGATGTCAAAGGAAATTTATGTATCTGAAGATGATGTTACATCTTCAAAGGATTCTTCGCAGAGAGCTCAAGATGTTTCCAATGATGATAAACATAAAAATGATGAGGAATTTGAGAATAAGGATAATATTCAACTGAAACCTTCGTTGATTCCTACAAAGGTCAAAATGATAACTGGGAGACGTAATAGGACAACAGAACAAAGGAAAGCATCAACTAAAAGATGGGTCGCGCGAAAGAAAGCTCTTTTAGCGGCGACAGGAGAGAGCGTATCAGATACAGACTCTATGGCATCGGATGAGACCGAATTATCACCAGTGCAAAAAGCACGAGCAAAAACTAACATGGACATAGAGTGCGAGAAGCAAAAGAGAGTAGCTCGAGCGTTAAAACAGTTGGAAACTAATTTGACTGAGAAATATACTATTAAACATGATAGAAGCGATTTTATGTGTGTAGATACTGATTCCGATACGCGAAGAACAAGGTCGGTTAAAGACGTTACTTCTGATGTGTCATTAACAGACAAAAACACTTCTGTGAAAGATTCTACTGGACCGGATGAAATAAAAAAGAATAAAATCTGTCAGGATGATTTAAAAACAAAGGAAAACTCGTCTGTTTCTGTGCCAGAGAAAACTGTTGCAGAAAAGACACCAAAGAAAAACGAAACAGAAAATAGTAACAATATATTTACTCCATGTTCGGTGAAATCGGAATTAGAAATTGGAGATGCTACATATATAGTAACATCTACTTTAATGCTTGCGGAACCGCATTATCTGAATAAAGCAAATTTGCATAATTTATCGAAAGAGTATAAAAACGATAGCATAGTTGAACAAAGTTCTCAAGACAAAAATACTGACATCATCGACGCTGTACAACTTCGCAGAATAAATCCAATCCCAACAGATCCCAATGATAAAAAGTGTATCGAAAGATGCTTAAACATAGAAGTGGAAGGAACAGAGATAGAAGCTCTGAAACGCGTGCAAGTTGAGCTCGCTGGATTCGTAGAAAAAGAAATGAAGCAAAGATTATTCGGAATAACCAACAACGATACAAAGAAGGACAAAATGGAGAATGGTTGCAAGAATTCGTATCAAACTTTAGACCAACAGTTGAAGAATATAATAGAAAAAACAATAAAGAAAAATTTTGAATCTTCCATGATGAGAAGCTGTGGTTCTGAATTTAGTCCGTATACTAAGAGACCGGGAAGAGTTTCCCCTACATTAGCAAAAGCAGCAGAGGATTGTAAAAAATATCAACCCAAAGTTGTATTGAAACGTTTAGATATAACCAAAGAAAGTAAACAGCGAAACATTAATAATATTCACGTTGTTGCTAAGCGTACCGTTAAAAATAAACTTGGTGGACCGTTTAGTATGGTTTCTCATAAACGACAAAGCGTACCACCGATAAGATATAACGATTATAATACTTCCGCTTTGGATTCTGATTCTGAGCTATCAGAGGATGCTTCCGAAGCATCCAAGACAGAAAGTAATCAAAATGTGCAAGAAGGTGCGAAAGAAGAGAATGTTGGTACAGCGAAAGAACCAGAAGAACCTAAAGTTGATTCCAATACTGCAACAATTTCTGAATCTGCTACGATTAACAAAGAGAAAACAGAAAATCAAGAGAATGTTGTTAGAATAAATTCGCCTGTTATTGAAAAGCACGTATGCGGCGTATGCGAGCAGTCGTTCAATAGTCGCAGCGAAGTCATAGCACACGTTCGCACGCATAAATCAGAATCCACGCGACACAATAAACATAAGATGATGCGATGCAAAAGATGCCACGAAATAGTCGAGGCTAAATTGGTAAAATCGCATGTATGTAAATCTACAAAGCAGCAATCTCACAAGTGTTACGTTTGCAACTCAACGTTTAGAACTGAGAAACTTCTGGTGCGCCATTTAGAAAGTCACGATCAGTCTGAGTTCAATATAGAAAACATAAAGAAAGGAGAATCTCAAAAGTCAACCAACGCAAACTCGTCGCAAAAATCTAAAGAATCGGCGTACATTAAATCTGAAATCTCTCAACACTTAAAAGCGGACAGTAACGTGCATAGAAACTCAGATGATTCTAGAATTGAAGTAAACAATGTTCAGTCAGAGAAAGTAGGTAACAAAGGAGCAGAAGGAGATCATGGACAAGTCGTTAAGCCAAAAGAGACGTACACTTGTTTTGTTTGCGATAAAATATTTACAGATGAAGAGATATTAAAAGATCATTTGCAGAAGCATTGCGATGATATGAGTGAGGATGACCAGAGCAATGGCAAGGAACAATATCAATGCGCAATTTGTGGAGACTCGTTAGAATCTGAAGATGCACTTGAGGCTCACGTTGAAAAACATCTGTTCGATGAGGAAGATGATAATCCTAACCTCATTAATATTGCTAATGACAACGATCGATCGGAGGGGGATCCTTATCACTGTCTACAATGTGGGGAGTCGTTTAATTCGGAAATGTTATTAGAGATGCACATGCAAGCTCACGAAGAGGAAGCTGCGATCGCGGAATGGGAAAAACAAGGAGTAAAATCATACGAATACCAATGCATGATTTGCGATGATCTTTTCGAAACGGAAGAAGAGTTATCTGATCATTTAGACATACATAATGGTAACGCGCATGTTTGTCAGTTATGTGAGAAGCCGTTTACTTGTCTTGAAGATTTACAACAACATGTTGCAACTCATTGATGCAATTATCGACTGTTTTCATATTAATCTTTCAAGTAATGCCGACTACAAAATAAATAAGACTTGTATGGTGAAAGAGGTACCCCTGTGTATAATACTTTGTATACATGTAAGAATTCATGTGTTAAAGGATGACGTAATACAAGACGAGGTTTTGCCGTAGTATCGTTCCATTTCGTTCTAAAATATCTTACAAAAGTAAATGTAATTAAAGGTATCCTTAATATCATAAGTACAAATCCTGCAGAGAATTTACTTATATGTTGAAACATTTGAAAACTTAATTTCTGAATATATATATATATACATATATAGAGTTCATGTATTTCATAATGCATTAGACCAGTATTCTCAATATTAATAAAGCTTCACATGCAGACAAAATTTACAGATGTTAAATGAACAGTAAATAATACAAAAGTGTTTTCACGTGAATTAAATCATAAAGATCTTAGTTATGGTAGCAATGTTATCTTACAATATGTTATCTACAATTTTGTAGCAATTGATGAAAAATTCCTTTGTGATATGTGCTAACAATGTAGTGTCTTCTATATGCATATAAATGCGTACAGTTTTTGTATATATAGTAATACTTAATAAAGCACAGATTTATTTCCAATAAATACCAACTGTTTATACATAAATAAAGTACAGTTTTATTTTCAACAAATATGAACTGTAATATAAAATCTACGCGATGAAGTATTTCAAGTAGAACGGATTAGAATTAGGATTGATTAAATAAACACTTGTGTATAAACTGTAACGTATTTTGTTGATTGGAATTTAACATGTATATCAATGAGTATGCAAATATAATGTTTTTATACGAAATAATGTTGTACATAAATTTGTCCTTTTTAACAATTTTACATTTAATTATTTTCGTCAGAACGTGACCGAAATTAGGCGTTCACATTCGCAATTAAATAACGTATGAATTTATCACGCTGTAATTTTTGTAAACTTAAAAAATCATTTATGAAATTCATTGACGCATCATAGTCATTTAATCGAAAAGTCATCTGTCTCATGAATTATGTAATATTTCATACATATTCTACTTATTAAGTTATACATAATAAATTTTATACACAAACTAGTCTATTTAACAACATGGAATCGCGAACACTCTTTACAGAAAATAATTTGGAGGACTAATGATGTAAACAATTACAAAAATCAGTCGTTGGCTGAATTGTAAATCTTATTATATTCTACTATATTTACATAAATACTGTATACAGTGACACGTTATTTACTTGTGAAGAATAACTAGCATTTTATCACTATATATCATTAAAACATGACTGCAAATCAACTCTTCGGAGCGCTTCGCGAAATCAATGTATATAAATAACAACTGACTTTATTAAAGCTGACTCTAACTGCTTTTGAATTCATCTCGTTACATGAAAAACAAACAAAAAAAAACTATAAATGCTTCCTTTCGAACCATTTAAATCTACAGTTCGTTTGGTTTCGTGATTGCTTTGCAACATTGTTGTTTACATTAACATAACAGTGTCCCTATACTAAAGATACTCTGAAAGCATGTTATAGCGAAGGTACATGGATTCATGATGAATGCGTAACTCAACATCAAGTAATTCATACCGTGAAAGCAGATATTTATCGCACTCGATACATTTTGCGCTTTCATTTTCATTTCTTAGGTCGTGTCACGTCTACTAGGAAAAAGAGTAGCGATTATATGAAATATCTTCAATATCCTGTAATTAATTTTTATATAAAGTTTCGTTCAATTAAAACAAAAAGATACCAAGATTTTATCCATAGAAGATAATCGAATATTGTTTTTGACACAGAAAGAAATTATGTACAAGACACGCAATAACTAATTATGAAAATTTTCTGTTACAACTTAACAAATGGTAAATATTTTTACATTACTATAACCATAATTTATAACCAAAATTCATTTTTTTTTTACGAGTCAATAATTTATTGTTTGTTTCTTCTTAATAGATAAAAAAAGCTCTGGGCAATTCTGGGTCCCCAATTTATTGAGTACAATTAATGTACGCACTTTGTTTCTTTTTTGAAGTATTTCATTTTTAGCCGATGTACTTCAAACATCATAAAATCTTAACTTTGTTAAACAATTGCAACTTTACATACCGTTATGTTCTTAGACCTATTATATACAACGATATCATTCAGACAGAATAGGTTTTAAAAGTATCATTTGAATAACAATAAATTAAATATACTTCTCGCCGCGTTCGCCGAAATTTTTTCCGTAGCAACAATGGTAATGAGTCAGAAAATGTATGATTGTACATTATCTCGAAACATCTAAACTTAATATACTTTGCGGTAATACGGCGTCATCCATCTTATTGTCTATTACTAATTATACAGATGGATATAGAGGGAACGCTAACTACGTACAGAAAACCATTACCCGTAAGAGTAAAAGTTTCGTTTCATAGTGCTTGTTGCAATCAATTATAAATGAGTTCGAGAAAAAAAGAAACAAAATCAAACCAGGCGCACGCAATTTTTTATATCCTTCCGACACTTACAACATCTTTTTCAATCGTTGAATTTATATTATTTACTTGTTACACCAAACTGCAATATTTATTGTATTATTTTTTTTCAGCGATCATAGTATATCACACAATAATGAATGATCTCTAATATAGTCTTGTGTAACTCTTACCTAACAACATTTACAAATTTTAATGAAGGCGCTATTTCATAGAGAAATAAACAACAAAATAAAAATTTTGTTTTCTCTTCTTCCGTATATGTCACGTGTTAAGTAACTAACATTGTTCATGAAATTTGGCTTCACATAGTGATTTACTGGGACACAAGGTCTACGTAGTTTGCAGGATAAAGGCCCACTCTGCCATCTTTTCTACCTTTACACCATCCTTGTTCGTCCTCGTCTTCTAGTTTCTCGAATATATCACCTGTGGAAATAAAACAATCGTAAGTGACTAAATTCTAAATAATCCTGATAAATCTGTACCTTGTTTAAAGCTAAGCTCGTCTGCTTCGGCTCCCTCGTAGTCGTACAACGCGCGCACAGGAACACCAGGTTCTCCGTTATCTACTAATGGTTCGCCGCCATCTTCATCCCATTCCTCTTCTTCAAACGGATTTGATTCTTGTTTAGCGTTTGTACCGTTACTGAAAGAAACGTATATTTTAAATGAGCATACACATCAAAGTAAAGCTAACATATACGGGCTTTTAAAATAAACAAATGCATATTATTGAATTTTCTAATTTTATATATTTCACTGTACGACTCAGCTGTGAGTTCTTAATTAAAAAATATCATGGAGTCGAGGACCATAAAAGAACTAATTGTTAAATGTTAAATATAGTTCTCCGGTTGTTATTAACACTTACGTAATTGTAGAGGTTCTGTTCACTGCACTTCCATCGTGATTATTCTTTTCTGAGGCGTTTTTACTGGAACTAATGGAGTCAGTTTTGCTATCCCCGTGACTCCCGTCTGTCGATATTACCCTGACACTGGGCTTTGATTTTGCCTTATTATTGACTGTTGGAAATTCCTAAATTGATGGAACACGAAAGAGAACGATTAATTACGGACGATTACATTAATCGATTATGTAATTAAGGTCACGTTTTCTTGTGAAACTTCGAATTTTAGCCAGTCGTTAGATAGTACAGTTTACAAGGGAGTCTCAAATCATGCGTGCAACCAAAGTACGGACGATACATTGAATTTTCGTTTACATAAAAGTTGTTATACCACAAAAAATGTAATAAATATATGTACACAATTTTGTTGCGATATTTGGTGAAAGTGAATTGCGTTTGTTTGTTAGTTTTAAGCTGCGTGAGATAATACTGCTTTGTTGTTTGTCAATTTCGGTATCGGTCCTTTAAGTATATAATAAACGAAATATTGAGAAACAATGAAAACAAAAATATATATACAGTAAATAAAATGAGTTTTAAGCTACAAGAATTAAGCTACATTCATTGGTGCTTGTTAGTATTATCTTTGCGAAGATAGATTCTTTTTGCAAATGTTGATTATCGTGATAATGGATAAAGATTGCCACATACAATGCGATATTCATAGACATGATGTTTCTGCTACATATAAATTAATTGTGCAGATGATTCACTGATTGCAAACACGTTTGATTTTTGCGTGGTCTTCATTGTAATATATATGTAACGATGGTGTATGAAATAACAATTATATATGATTCTAATAGCAGTGTTTGTAAGCATGTGTGAAAATATCGAGCGAATTTACTTTCCAGACTTGAATCTTGTATGATAAGAGACAGAAAGATATCAACAAGATACAAACAAGAAATCTCTGACGAAACCTTCGATTTGATAATTTTCCAAAATTACAGTACTAGATAAAAAGGAACACTATTTAATTGAAGAAAAGAATACTTCGAGTGTCACAGCTATTGCAATGTCCTTTGCACTCAAATACAAAAATTGCGTTACATAAAGAAAAGAATATAATCCTTGAAATCTTTAAAATATCCCTAGTATTCCTTCCAATCATGTCTAAAGCATTTCTTTACAGTACATAAAGTATTAACCCACCTGGTCACACTGAGCGCTCGTCATATGGGTACTATTCTTAAAAACAAATTAATTAAAAAATGAATACGGACCGCACGTTCACTTTTTTTTGGGATTATCTCGAAACTATATTTTTCGAAATGGTACAACGTAAATCTCGTAAACTATCGGTCTGATTGCTCTGAAATTTGTACACACTACTTTTAGATACATTATCTGAAGAGTAGTAATGGATTTTTGCGATTACTTGATTAGTTTTTTTTTTGTATTGACGATTGTTCTCGTGAAATTTCGGTGAAAAATAAAAAAAAAAATTTCTTCGGCTCACCATAATTTTCTTAATGGTAAAAAAAAAAATCCAATTGCTACTGTCTTGCGACAAACTTCAGAAACAATGTAATATTTTTTTTTTCTTCTTCACATGCAACCTAAAGAATATAATGATGGGAGAGCCCACGCGCGTTTCGTGCCGAAGGCCTTCACCAAAATTTTCGAACCGCCGCCATATTTTTTTTGTTATCTCAAAAAATTTGTCATGCGTTCACTCAACTGTTCTTTAGTATGTGTCGAAACATAAAAATATTTTTTTCTCAACGCTCAGAGTGGCCAGACTCCTTAATGAACGAAAAAGTACCCCACACGAATCTCTCTGTACATTTGTAACACCACTTCGTCATAGTTGCCTGTAGCAAGTTCGCTCCTATCTTCACCGGTTGATACATGCCCTGTGCGTTCGCGATATAGATCTGTGATTACGTGCAAGACCAAGCACATAGCGGGTTACGGTTAATTCAGTTAAGTTAGCGCGCCAGAAGCTGCAAAAGGAAACCCATCCTCAGTGACCTCGTCGTGTCTGCCGTTACGGCGCTATTTCGTGCCCCCTTGCGACGGTGAAAAAAGCTTGCTTGTTAATCGACCGGGCGGTAAAGCTCGTCGATATGTGCGGAGTCGAATTCGGAATTCGGTGGTGTAAAACATAACAAAAAAAAAAACTTTACATGCAGATCCTCGCCGACCGGGCGTTGATTGATGAGCGTGATGGAGCCGGCCGGAAGCGCCTCCTTGGACTTGGAGCCTTTGGTGATGTCGCGGAACTCCTCTGTGTAGTCCTGCATAATAGCAACGCCCAAAAAAACAATCACATGCATGCATTCCAGAAAATTGTCTCGGGATACTGTTTGAAGCTTTGAGAAAAAAAAAATGGGGGAGGGAAGAAAAACAAAGAGTAGAGCAGGACGCTTTTGGTGTACTTGGTTACTGGTGGTTACCAAGAAGGAGACCGTTACCATTATGGTCGTAGTAATTGTAGTTTTAACGAGTTAACACGCTGGTAGCCACGTCATCCAGAAATGGCCGACAGGACTCTTTATTAAGGAACTAAAAAAATTAATTTCAAAGGTGAGACAATAATGAAAATAATTTTGGACAGGATTCGTGAATTTGACGACGTTACAAAAATAAATACTACGACAGATGTTAAATGATCTAATTTCCAATAGTCTCGAGACAACATTTTAACTTTGTAACAATTTTCACGAGATTTAGCTTGGCAGCCAACGTGTTAAACCTTTTAGAAGGGCCTGGCTTAAGTACGAGGGTGCAGGAGGATGTAATTTGACGAGGAGATTTATTTTTAAAGGGTTCTTGGCGAGGGGGAATCCACATTTTGCGATTTAGTGGATAGACTGTAATCTGGGGAACCCCTAAACCGATACAAGGCGAGTCAGAGCTGAGAAACTGTAGTGCTTCTCCATACTATGGACTGTATTTTGTTTATACGAGTCACCAGTAACTGTAATCGTTTTTTTTTCTTTTTTTTTTTTTTTGAGTTACTTCATTTAACATTTGTATCAGTTGCAAAATTATCAACAACAACGTCTATGTTTACAATTCACGATCAAGAATACATCAAAGAATTAAACAAAAGTGAACGTCAACTGGTTTTTCTATTCCTCTATCGACTTATTCATTCTTCTCATTAATTAATACACGTTCCTCATACGAAAGCTAACGAATTTCTCGACAATTGACTGTAAAATTACATTGTATCGGTTACGTGGTTTCCAAGCGGGCAAAAACATCACAAAAAGCGCCCATATCGTCGTCGATAACGAAAATTACAAGAAATAATCAAGGTTTAAAATGCTGCCTGAAAATAATGTACACTTCTTTCTCTCTTAAAGTAAAATAACTTTTTAAAAAACGGTTCTCCTACTAAAGAAATGATTAATATTCTACCAAAGAAACATGTTCTTAGGGCCTATTAAATGTAAAACATATTCCTGACCTAAATGCAGGTATATAAATCGTAATTCATAGCGGTAGCTTCGATTTAAAAAATTGTAGACTACCGAGACATACAGAATAACTTAAAATTGACACAGTTATACAAAGGGTAAGTATGAGAGTAATATTTAATGCACTCTACGGCTATGTTCTCTAACATCAGATTTCCAACCATGAGCAAGGGGCTTACATGCGGTAAAAAGAGAGTCATTTAATCGTGTTCGATATTTTGTTATTTTACCTCGAATTGCGGCCAGTTCATAGCCATATTGACACCGTGATTATTCGACCACCATTTCAGGTCCTTTTCGTGGTCCGCGTTGTTTATTGTATGGTAGAATTCCTCGTATATTTGTGGAAGTCTGAAAAATAAAATACACAATGGAAAGGTTATTATAATGTCGATTTATCTATTAAAATAATTTTAAAAAGAATAATTTGACCATTTGTTTTTCAATATAAAATATTCTACTACTGGAATGTATGAAAACGTCCCATCCTAAGGGTTGAATCACTATACAAAGCTTGCAATACCAACTGAAAACTTATATTTTGCTTTTATGCTTGATCGAAACAAACAAATAATATTGATATTAATATTCTACTTTATAGTCAACTATTGAATTGAATTTCGATTCTCCAAAAATCTTTCAAGATTTTAATAAAAGGCTTTTCAAACCATGCTTCAGCGGTGGATCCTTGAACGCCACTGTTCTTAGAATAAAGAAATCCTTACAACTAAAACCTCTCGTAGAAAATCCTTTATTACCATAACACGTAAAAATTTCGGCAAAATTTGAAATGTTACTTCAAAATGTGCTCCATTTGGCATGGAATGTTCAATGTCTCCGTGAGATGTTGGAACACTTCCAGAAGCATACGAATTGGAGTCGAAAACACCTATTTTCCAAGGTTTCTATGTTCAGTATATATGCATAAGGGAAACGTATAATTACATGGGATCTTGAGAGATATTAAGGCATTTGTGAATGCCGAAGAGGACCTCCTTGAAGAACTGAAGCCGTTGCGCCTCCATTTCTTGGCATTTCTCGAACACCTGAGTCATGTCCTCCATGTACTTAGGGTTGTACTGGTTGATCTCCTGCAGGGTGGCCTCGTACTTCTCTTTCGCCTTCTGAACTTCCTCCTTCGTCTTCTGCACCCTGTCTTGCATTTTCTTCACCTGTCGATTAAATAGAAACGCGCGATTTGGCGACGTGAACGCTTTACGAGGTGTACATTGAAGGTAAAGAGCTTGGTACAAACCCACATCGACAAGCGACTTAAGGGTGGAAAGAAACTACAACCCCTGGGCAGAAAGTTTTCTCTTAAAGGAATAGATATGATTATCACGTTGAACGCCGCGTCACCCACATACGTGCGACGGAGCTTTTCACTAAGGAACTTCAACAAATGATTTCAAGGGCTGAGTGTTGATGAAAACTGATCTGGATAGAATTCGTAAATTTCGATGAGAATACAAAAATGAGTAATACGACAAATGTTAGATTCTACAGAGTCTAATTGTCTCGAGACAAAATTTTAGTTCTGTTAACATTTCCATGTGAATCCATGGCAGTCAAAGCGTTATAACAAAAAAATTGTTTCTGTTTATTCAAAAAATATAGACTGACTAATAAAAACAGTAAATGGGAAAAAAGTACCGCGAATTCATAAAAATAAATATTACATTTCTTTCATTAATATTTACACGGAAAATAAATAATTTTAATAACTCTATCTCCACTGAAGACTTGAAATCTCATTTGGCTTTTCAAAGTGAATGGCAACATTTATTTCTGTATATTAATATTATAAGCTGACTCTTTCATTTTATTCCTTTCACAGACTTGCATATAACTTGCTCCACTCCTGACCAGGGCTTGTATTCCCAATTTTCTATTAAAATTCTGATTAATATTTGACCCGTGGACACTCTCGTCACAGTATTCCAATTCTTTACCCTCAAGTTTACCTAGCGTACAATTGCGATGGCAAAAAATACCTTTGAAAAAGTAAGCGTGACCTTAGAATATTAATTAAGTAAGAGTTAATCAACCTACGGGTGCGACAAAGCTATAGTAAAGTACAAAGATTCGTCCAGAAAATAATTATACAAGAAATTGATCGAAAAATGATCGTCATTTGAAAGAATTGAAATTTATTTACATTTCCTTGTACTTTACTATTTACTTTTGTAGAAAATTCCAAAGATATACAGGGTGGTTTATAAATAAATGTTACTTACTTCAGAGAACGAATGCACATAAGTGATATAAACAATGTTTAACACGTTGATCGCCATGTCACCCATATATGAGTGACAGTGCTTTTCACTGAAGAACAAACAAAATTAATTTTGAATGTTCAGTAAAAAAGAAAATAAATTTCAATTAAATTCTTAAATTTCAATGAAGTTATAAAAATAAATACCACAATAAATGCTTCATTATGTAGCTTCCAATAGTCTAGAAAGAAAACTTAATCACGATAGAAATTTTCAAGTGTATTAGTCTGGCAGTCGACGTATTAAAAGTTACACAGTAAGAGTTATTTTTGTGGTTTAAAAATGCGATGCATAAAAAAAAAAAATAGATTGAAAGCTACCTTATGTATAACATATATTGAAATAACAGTTTTGAAACGTTTCATTATGTGTATTCGTTCTCTAGAGTAATGATATACATTTATCGAACACCTTGTATAAATAAAATTGTGTGAATTGATGCTTGATTCGTAGATCTGCGCAGAATGCCACTGAACACGAGCCTTGCCAGGATTTTGTTTACTTCCTACCGCGCGATTATTAAGCTAGTTTTGAAAAGCCAAGTCACCATTGATCAGAATGTTATTTTGCTTTACAATAATGACTACGCAATAGTGTCACGGCTTGCCTCATACGTTCCTCCGGGGCATTCCTTACAGTTTATGATAATATACCTATCAACTGAGTGCGAGAAGGATCAAAGAGTCAACACCGGATTGAAAAAGTCGACGTGAAAAATTATGTGGAATCAAATTTACATATGAAACATGAAGTGCCTTATTTTCTTTTACGTAATAAAATATTAATTAAACAAACGATTATCCTTGTTTCTAGCCCTTGGGAGGAACTGAACAAAATTTTGAAGTAAATAGAACAATATGGGTACGAGAAAGCTTATTACTTTATCACGAATGGTATAATTTTATGTTATTTTATAAAGAGTAAGAATAAGGATAAGTAAGTTCACGTTTTGTATGCAAATTGTATTTTATATTACTTGTTATGTGGACTGTTTCGATTCAATGTTCACTCTTTAATGAAAATTATGTACAACGAAATAATAAATTCTTGTTCTAACAAATGCATGAAGGATATTATTCTAAAGTTGTCATTATTCGATGCTGAGAGATGGGGTGCTCGTGCAGAACGATCTGTGCTTGAAATCGCTGATCTGGTTAAGCAGAGTAACTAGCCAAGTAGTCGAAGCGTATCGGTTTATAAAGCGTTTAGAATTTATGCATACAAAATCGAGTATTTCCTACATTTCAATGTCTGAAATGTATTGTAATCTGTCCTATTTACTTATAAGCGCAGATAACGAGCAATCACCGAGCTGTATAAACATCGGAATACAACAGTGGGTCGAAAATGTCCAAGTCTGATTTGATTAAAAAACATGCGCTATTAATGTTCCTTTTCATACATTTCTGATTTCAGTGAACTTTAATTCTTAATTTGTTAATTTGAAATTAACTGCGGAAGCAGGGTTAAATGTAGGATCGAAATATTTTGAATCTCAAATTGTTTAACGTGCAAAGACACAATGTTGACTTTCATTCGATATTCATAACAAGTAGTTAATTTTTTGCTTTTCATTTGAATAAATTGTTTTTGCACACAACGTACAATTTTGTGCTACAGATTGAAAAATTCTAAATACTGAGCGTTTCTCTTGATCTAAAAGTTTTGCATATATATTTGTTATACAGGGTGCTCCAATTGTCCAGAGCATTTTATTAAAAATGCTCGATGTTTGCTCGACGCGGCAAACAGTGTACGAGTTAGGAGACAGAGGGTTTGCTTACCAGCATAGCTTTCTGTAATGAAAAACGAGAGAATGTTAATTAACATACATGCCGCATGCAATATCGTTATACATACAAGCTGAACGTCTCCTATTTTAGAATTCCTAAAGGATTTTCGTATTCTGAGGGCCCATGCACCACATCCACATACTGTCATCTAAAAACGTCGCCTTTTTTCAGAAGATCACCTCTCGCCTAGCGATTAATCATTCTTTCCAACAGTAACACGTGCAAATATGTCGAAAATGGCCTCGAGGGCATTTTCTAAATTTTTTTAAATTTTTCCAAACGAAAATTTCGGAAGACTTTGAAAACAACTTATTTTTCTTTTCGTTAAAAAAAAAAATATTCTCACGCAAAAGTTCTGAATGAAAAAACGCAGTTTGTACATTACATCAGCTGATTCAATAAATATTTAACATTTGTACCACGATATTACTTTATAACTGGAAACATTCTATTAAAAATGAAAAGAATATTATTATAAATAGATGGATATTCTTTGATAAATAACGTGGTTTACTATTAAAAATATCTAGTAAGAAATTTCAAGTAGAATCATCTCAAATTTCATAAAACGTGCAAATTCATTCAAACGTTTACAGAGGTCTAGAGAAGCGTTTGGTGACACGAGAAAAATAGAGATTTTCACAAATGTCGAGAACAGTGGACGATACAACAATGCATGCAAATTTTCGTTAGATACCAAGTGATTTTTTGACATACGTTTTCGGAGCCTCGGGCCATCTGCAAATAATACTGGCTAAAGAACAACTGTATCTACTGTACGTTATTATCAACGTATGTGATTGTTCGTGAGTGTTCTGGCGAGAATATCGTCGCTTCGAAAAGAATTTCATTTTCAAACATGTATTTCATTTTAAAGAAAGTAAAGTGAAATTTGTTATCCATTAATTCAATTTCGAATTTATCTACACTGCTCAAAATTAAATTTACTGTGTGGTATTACTGAACAGACTGTTTACTTTGTTTATTAATTTATGATGAGACAAAGTGGAATCAGCTGAATTCAAGATGAAGTGGATGTTTGAAACTTGATTTGAAGTAAAATAGTGTAATTATAAAAGAAAATTGTATAGAGTTTTACTCGGATAATGAAATATTAATTTTTTCTTCCATCACTACATCACATCCCAAGTAAAATAATATAAATAAACGGGAAATAGTACACAGGAACGATTAGCTTCAAAATTGTACAGGATTTTTGCACGATTATGGGGATGGGGAAACCTACTAGCTTTGTAGATTTACTTAGACTGCAGATCTTCATGCAAATTCATATTTTCACAGGCACAGAAAAACATCAGAAACGTAAATCAAAGTATTAAGCATGTATCATGTTCCAAACGAAATATCTTTGCATTCTCGTAGATTTCCCTGTATTTTCATTACCTATAAATGCACGAACATCCGCAGTCTACTGATCGTTTAGCCTCGAATACATAAATACTAGAAACAATCGCATTTTTTTCAAAATAAACTCGCACAATAAAGTACTGTAAATCTTTCCCCGAAGAACGAAGTTATTTATTCCGGAGTCAACCCGAAATTATTTTGAGCAGCGTACGATCGAACTCTGGGAAACGTTTAACCCACTCGATCTCGAGCACCGATGCTTCCAAAAACCTTTTAAAAGCGAACGCGACCGAGGAATGACTGTGATTCAGATAAGTATGGAACGTAACAATTGCGCCGTTCGTCGATAATGAATGAGCAACGATGGTGTAACTTTTCATTACTGTAATAGACACAGAGAAAGAGAGACAGAGACTATGTACCGTCGATTTACCTGGTCTGGGGAAAGCGAACTGTCAGCTGAGGCGTTCCTCTCCATGTTCGCGGCCGTTCGCTCTGTTTTACAACTATTGTGGTACTCGGACTTGGATTTCTCGACCTTCTGCAAGAGCTTCACCCAGGGCTTCTGTGCTTTCTTGAAAGCGTCCTCCATCTCCTTGCGTTCCTTCAGGGTCATCATCGACTGCAACGAAACCAGATCAGGCGTTAGTGACAATTACGATATACCGATACAAAGAAGCAGACAAAAATGGGCGAAAATTATGGCAACGAAAGACAAAGTGACGTGGAGAAGGGGTTACTTTTACTTCTAAAGAACCTAGACACTTCGAAAATCACTTTTTGAAGGCTCTAAGTCTTTGAAATTTTATATTAAGATAACTTAGACTGGTTATATTTATATTATATTTATATATATTATATATATTATATATTATATTTATATATATTATATATATTATATATTATATTTATATATATTATATTATATTAGGCTTTTATATTAAGATAACTTAGGTAAGAATACTAAGGCTGGGAAACCCCGTATACTTAGGACTTCTTAATATAAAATTTCAAAGACTTAGAGCCTTCAAAAAGTGATTTTCGAAGTGTCTAGCTTTCCATATTTGAAATTTTGCATTCGGTCGATAGTTTTGGAGTTAGAGCGCTGCATCACTAAGGCTGGGCCTGTATAAACAAGTGCTCGTTGGAGATGTTTCCTTTCAGGATTAACGAGAATGCTTGTTAATTTTCATCTATTAGGTTGTCCCGAAAGTTTCTTTCGCGAGTTGCACCCAATTATTTTATGTGGTCGTGTTTATATAAATAGACGATCCAATTTCATAGATACTCATGTTGTAACAGTAATGGAGCAAAATGAATCGTGCACAATTCAGTAATGTAACATAAAACATAAAATATCGTGCATGTATTACTTATTAATAAAGCGAAAGAAACTTTTGGGACAACCTAATAGAAATACGCGTACCTTGTGATACGTGTCTTTCTGCCACGTTTTCACTTGCTGAATGATGTCGTTACAGAGATTCTCTTTGACCCTGAGATGAAGATCGCATAGCCTGTCCGATTCGACTAGAACGCCTTTCCACGCCGCCTCGGTGGTACCATACTCGGGGCCTTTCTCGATCTTGTCGTTCCAATTCTTCGACCAATTTTTCAAAGCTTTCGCGTAGCTTTTTTCGATTTCCGCCCTCTCTTGGACCAAAGCTATCAAGCTGTCGCAGAGCTTGTGCCCGTCTTCGATTCTCTTGGTCGTTCGTTTGTAGTTGCCAGGCTCCCAAAAGGAGTCCGAGGTTGCTATCAGCATGTTATCGTCGCTGTGATGTGACATCCTAGCCTAAGTCGAGAAATTCCTTTCACCTGCAACCAGAAAATCGTCGTGTCATTTTAAACACCTACGGTTTTACGTGCATTTTTGCTTTTGAAGCGATTGGAAGCGAGATATGGGGGGAGTAGGGAGAGTGGAATCGATATCTCGATTACGATCACTTCTATCGAAAACATGTGCAGAACATAAAAGTCTCTAAAACTAATTTCCAACAACTTTGGTTATATATATTTTTACTGTAAAAGTAATTTTAAGTAAGATATGAACAAAGGTAGCAAAAGTGGGGTCGATATCTCGACTACGACCACTTCTATCGAAAACATGTGCAGAACATAAAAGTCTCTAAAACTAATTTCCAACAACTTTGGTTATATATATTTTTACTGTAAAAGTAATTTTAAGTAAGATATGAGCAAAGGTAGCAAAAGTGGGGTCGATATCTCGACTACGACCACTTCTATCGAAAACATGTGCAGAACATAAAAGTCTCTAACAAAAATTTCCGACAACTTTGGTTATATGGATTTTCGTTCTAGAAGCAATTCTAGAAGCAATTTTAAGGAAGATAGGATACGCAGCTCCTTTCTTAGCCCCACCTCCCTCTTAGCAGAAAATTTGTGACGTTACGTAGCTTATACTTTAAGTTGGGCTACTATTTGGACTACTTCCAAATTTCATCGCAATCCCACCAGCCACTTTTCCGTGACGCGGTAATAAACATCAAACACAACTGAATTTTATGTGTATAGATGTTAGAGGAAAAGACTCCAACTTCAAGGTTAACTACCACCTAGTTATTATAAAAAGAATCTAATACTTCACTGACCTAATTACACAAAATGATAACAATATTGATTCCTTCCTTCTTTCCACTTTTTTAAATATTCTTCTGTATTCATTCGAACCACTCACAATTTTATTCAACAAATAATTAACCTGCACCAGACCTAACTCTCTTCTCGTTTATACGTCATTTGACTGTTCGACGACAAAAGAATGAATCTCGCTGGACACGGTAGTTCGACGTTCCCACGTGACGCTAGTTATTTGTTTATCTATAAATACTCCTTTTGAATGCTATAGTTATAGTTGAATAGACACGCTCGAGGTTACCGTTTCTTACAGCTGTTATCGGCGGCAGGTGGTGATGGATGCGTAGGCTGGCTTCGTTCGGAATGGAATTTTCTTCATTGTCATTGGTAACAAAAGACGAATCTGAACTGCGTCACGATGAATTTTTTCATTTTAAAATCCCATAAGTCACAGTTACGCTGTATCTTTTTAATTGAATTAAATTAAAATTTTCTTCTCCAACCAGAAATCTCAATTTTTTATAAAAGTTGTGGCAATACGAAATATAGATTGAAACATCTCGATTACTGTCATCACGAATAATTTAAACTACAGTTCTGTTTTCATTTCACTTGTTTAGTTTTTTACTTTAATCATTGTTCCATGGACTAGATAACTTTCCGAAGTAAGAAAACAAATTCCATTTGCGGTTTTTCTATGCACCGGGGAGAAGTGTACGATAATTCACGGGACAGTGATTCTCGTCAGGATTTAATTCCTCTCTACTTTCTCTGAAGCTTTCGACTGGACATTTCTTGGCAAAGTGCCGATGATACTCGCATGCTCGATGGTAATAGTCCATTGTGCATCTTCCATGTAAATCCTGTCCCAAACTTTGCTCCAGAAACACGGTTGAATAATATACGACCTATTAATATGCAATTGTCTAGGCGTGATTATTCTGCTCGATATCACAAACATTTTAAGCCAATTCCGAGGAGAACTCTATATTTCCTTGCTTAATTAATTAGTCACGTATATTCCTCACCTAATTAATCTCGTATTTGGTTTGTTAGTTATTCATTATGGTACGGAAACGAAGAGTTGTGGACTATGATTAAGATTAAAATAATTTGAGTGTCTTTTTTTATTTGTCGAATTTTTAAAGAAGCTTGTCTCACATTCTATATTATGATATTGCCCTTCTTCAGATTATCATAATTGAAAGAAACGCATGACTAATAAATGATTAAGAATATAACAATCATTTTGTTGTTTTTATTCATTTGTGGAATGTTTAAAGAACCTTTTCTCACAATCTATATTATGACATTGGCCTTCATTAGATTGTCACAACTGAAACAAACACACGACTAATAAATCTTGGTTTTCGTATTAATCTCGCTGTCATACGTTTCTCCTTTTCACGTTTGTTTTTAATGTCCAGATATACTTATCAGAGACTTGCATGACAAATGTTTTATTTTTAGTCATTCCATAATAAAGCAAACGGAAAGAAATCTGTGAACTGTCCATGGTTGACGTTCACGACGATTTTTACGATCGCATCGTAATTAAATCGATACTTGCGTAAATGTCAGTCGATTTACTAAATTTTGCAAATATTTTACATAATGCGCCACGGTGCAAAGTAACCCAAAGTAATGGGAATCATGGTAGAAAGTGTGAATTACCTATCTGTCTTTTCGCACATTAGAAACGACTAACTGGGCTAACAACCAGGCAATTAAGGACACGTTGACGATTATGCTGCAATGTCTGTTGCAAATAAAATGACTGTTGAACGGTCACATTTCAAAGGAGCGAAGAATAACCGTTTCAATTTCCATCTTTGATGCGATGGTGAAACGTTGAATAATGAACATTCTACTCGAGACACAATACTCGTTAACAGAGCTCAATTTGCTTCTGTAACAAGATAAAAAAAAAACGAAATATGTTAAAACAAATGATCTAACGACATCGCTGATTAAAGTAAAGATTACTCATTCATAATACACCAATAGTGTTGGTTTTCCTCTGACAAGATATTTCAATATTTTTATTGAAATTCGAGATATAAGGAAACAAGAAGAGTGACGAAACAAATTGTAATATATTAGGTTGTTCTAAAAGTTTCTTTCGTAATTTGCACTCAATTATTTTGTGCGGTAGTGTTTATATAAATAGACAATCTAATTTCTTAGATGTTGATGTTGTAACAGTAATGGAGCAAAATGAATCGTACACAATTGTGTATGTATTACTTATTAATAAAATGAAACAAACTTTTGGGACAACCTAATAAAAATAAGGAGAAAATTAATTATCCGTAGAGGAGATTTTAGATGCAAAATCAAAGAACAATGAAGGCATTCGATCGTTTAAAAAATCGACTCGAACGGAGCATCTCGAACAAACGCTCTGAAAATTGAAATTGAAAGTACACAAATTGTTCATCTAATTTTCGTTTACAAGAGAATCGACCGCGTATCGATTTCAGGGAATTATAAAATCGACTCAACGCTTCCAAAGTCCAATTGTTCGTTAACACGTCGCGATCGAGATGCTTGGACTGCAAGCTCGGCTCTTTCATTGAAACAATGCCCTCGTTAATGGGGCCACAATGCGTCGATATATAGCAAGGGTCAAATGGCACAATTGCACGGGTATAAGTCAGTTATGTCAACAGCTTACTGGACGTATTTAAATGGACGTTCTCGCTCCAGGTTTCGTGTATCGAATTACTCCAGAAGACAAGAAACGATGCTTGTTGCCACTCGTCCGTAGAAACGTAGCAATTAATTAATTTCCAGAGCAACGTTCAGCGTCAATTCAACCTTCCCGTCTTTCATCCGAGGCAATTAATACGAAGTTCGCTCTCCGTGGCATTTATAACTCGTGTTCCAGAAATGGCCAACGCAGAGCGCTGAAAATTTTCAATTTAGAAATAAACGAGGTTTATTGTTTCGCCGGGGAACCGTCGAAGTTAATTTATTTTTAGAATTCTCGATTATTTTTAGAATTCTCGATTATTTTTAAAAAGGTAAACACAATGTTTTGAAATTGAAGATCTTTAGTACTGTTTGAAATAAACGTTACGTTAGAGAATTTTAAGAAAAAGAAATTGTTATTTGTATACTACAATATCCTTTGAATTCATACAGTTCCATTTTCTATATGAAGTTTTATAATTGGAATTTGAGCGTAGTGTTTGGAAAATTATAAATCATGAAGATAATATTTTCATTGGAAATTGCAGAAATTGGTCGAATCTTAAAAAATCAGAGTATCATCATAAGTTACTCGGTTTTAACAAAATAGCTTTGCATCTTTCAAGTATTTAATACTCATTATTCTACTTCTGCTAAAGATAATAGAAGACAATATAATTTATTCAATTTTCTTACTTTCAATGGAGTAAATAAAAAGAAATTCCTAAAAAAAATTAATATTAACAGTACCTAACAATATCGCAAGATCTATTTCCTAATACCTCCCTAATCCTACCCTTTGCGTTTCGACACATCACCCCCGATCTCTGAAAATAAAATAAATAAATAGCCTGCGAGAATCTAAAACGAGCAAAAGTGGTTGGAAAATCGGAGGAGGCAAAATAAAGGACGAAAAGGATGAAGAAGAAGAAGAAGAAGAAGAAGAAGAAGAAGAAGAAGAAGAAGAAGAAGCGTGGGCCGAGGAATGTTGTCAGGCCAGCCAAAGGCCTTTAATGTTTCAACGAGGAGGAGAAGGTCGGATCAAGGTTCCTCCGAGTTCGATTTTCGGCGTGGAACAGGTGAACGAAATGGTTTCCTGTTTCACCTTTCACGTTTCACAGACACGCACCAACACACCTGCGAGCCAGGCGGCACTGCACCTTCACCGGTGAATCCTTTCAGTGTTCGCAGGAGACCACGGTGGAATGAGTACGGTCATTCCCAACCGTGGAATGTTGCCCTACCAGCTCGATAAGCGCAGTGTACCTGGCGATTTCGTAGGCGCCACAACTTGCGCTGATTAGTTGATTCTAGGGTTATTACTAACCGAAGGAGAAGTTATTCGCGAGTCGAGGGGAACCTATTAGCCTTCGCGAATGCTGCTAGGAGTTCTGGGATAAGTGACATCGGAGGATCGCTGCGGAGATGTGGGAAAATAGGAAGATGGGGATCTACGGTTTGTTCTGTTTCTGAGAAGTACGCGGAGGAGAGCTTCTACCTGCAGCTAGAGTGGATGCGAGGTGAAG